TCTTTTTACACAGTAGACAGTGAAGATGTCCATTGTGCTGGATGAGAGTGGCTTCAGACAATATGATAATTCCATTTCACTTCATCCCTTGAGCCTCCCTCACGAATAAGCTGAAGGCAGTTAGTTGACTACCATTATGCCCTTTTGACTTCAAATGTATCCTAATATGACATCAACCTCCATTTACAAACTTGGATTACTCTGCTCTGCCCTGATCTTAATTGACAGGAAGTTCAACTAAGCTATTCCCACACTGAAGACAGAAAGCTGCAGCTTTGGCCTATGGACTTTCACTGCTGCCCTCGGGCCAAGTGGGAGCAGTGGTGAAGAAAGAATAAAGCAGTTTCCTTTCTGTCACTGAAGGGAAGCTCTGCTCTCATGCTTTGCAGAGCTTAGGAAATGCTGCAAAAGTCAGAGCTTAGAGACCAACTGTTTCTGAGACATCCCATGTGATAATTTTTCCCATTCTTTCCATTCTCTCCATTCCCCAGAGTGGAGAGGGAAGGAGGAAACTACAGCAACACAGCAGGGCTGATGAGATTACATATTCTGCTAAGGAGCTTGTGCATACTAAGGGCAAAAGGCTCATCGATGACTGTGACTGTGTGTATCTCTCAGAGAGGTGTTGTAGATAATGCTGGGTCTGGTGGCCTTCCAGCTCCCCTCCTCTCACATTCTTCTGCCCTGAGATGCCTGTCCTTCATCAGTCGTTCTCGAAGAGAGCTGAAGGTAGGACTAATTACAATGGTAGCTGTTGTCCCCAGCTTCCCAGGACATCGGTGTCCTCTTTGCTCCCCTCTGACCCTCCCTACGTAAAACTCCGTGAGGCAGGCACAAGATTCATGTGCATAATTCCATCCTCTTTACAACCTCTTCTTTGCCAAGCACTGTGTATTTGTTTTAGTTAAAGAAGCTTGTGACTGAAAACAGCTGCAGACTGAGTGGAAAAATACCACCTAAAAATAGCCCCAGCCTGAGAGCACAATGTGCATTGATTTTACTATGAAGAGTACAAGAGCAGGGAGATGGTGACTAGGCTGGTATGTTCTAATACGTCTCACCCTGCCATATTTAGAGTGCATGTAGTAAGCCAGGCAGCCAAGTCAGTCCATGTAGGTATTTGACTGCTTTGGAAGGGTTCCCAGCAAAGCCACTCCAACTACAACAAATTAGTGTGGTATTTTTATAAGCTGACAGTGAGGAAATCACCCCACAATATTACCATGTTCTGCAGAGAACAGAGAATACGTAACTGCTGAATAAGGAAGACAAATCTCTTGCTGATTGTAGCCACTCAAAACATTTTCCTAGAATAGATTGTAAAGTAGATAACATAACTTCCTCCTGTCTGCTGTATGCTGGGATGGGACCTGAAGCGGAATTCAGTTTAGATGCAGATCACAGACCCAGATGCATTAATTTCTCTTACAGTTTTTCCAGGTTTAGCAAGCCAAGCCCATGCCACAGCTTATTAGAAATACCTGTTCAGATTCACTTTTACAGACAACAGGGGTGATAATGGAAAGCACAGCTCTGTCAGAGACATCATTTTTATGTTATGACAATTATGACTATCTGCTTAAGATGTCGGTGTTGGGATCATGTGCTACACTCTTAAGAGTATAATAAGGACCCTTGCCAATGAAGACCCAATCCAGCATGAACTTGCCCACTGCCCGGCCACCTCCAGGCCTTAAAGCCATGGAAGCTGAGGGTGAATGTTGAAGAACCATATTTTTTCTCAAGGCTAAACCAAGTAATAAAGAAGCCCGAGTTTTAAAAATGGAAGCAATGTGGTTCTTGCACCTGTGGTTGACAAGGGCTGTAGTTCTGCCTTCACTTATCTTTTCTCCTTAGGCTTTGAAATGTTATTAGCTCATTAACAGAGCAGTGCAAATCCCCTCTGAGAGGCAGAAGAGTGCCCTGTCAGGAGATTTCAAATTGTTTCTATGCCAACTACAGGTCTGTTGTGACCTGAACTCCTAACAGAGGGGGCTGCTGCCTGAAGAGTGAGTTGAGAATACCAGGCCCAGAGGATGGGTCTGGGTGAAGAAATGCAGTTCTGAACAGCTCACGGCTGTTAAACCCCTTTAAAATCACTGTGTTTGTTACATATTTGTCTGCAGATTTCAGACAGATTCAGCGACTTGCGGGATAAGCTTCCAGCACCTTGTAGGTGTTTGTGATAGGACCAGATATTTTTTTTTTAAACAACTAGAACATCTTAAAACTAACTAAACTGCCTCTCGCAGCACATACACAGGTTTTCTCCTTAAAGATACAGCTTGCTTGGTCTATGTGGGAACAGGAAGCTCAGAGAAGCCCAGCACTTCATCTGTGACTGATGGACTGTCCCCCATTGAAGGGATATTCAGATTAGTGCTTTCAGAGAGGCACCCCAAACTCCTCTCTGCAGTTTGCAGGAGGGAGGTCTGTGTGAGTCTACAAACACATAAGCTTCTTTCTGACTTGGTTACAAGTAGACCAGTGCAGCGTTCCTAGTGTACTACTGTCAGAGGACCCACTGAGGAGACATTGTACCTTTACTGACTTTACTGGCAAGTCAGTAAAGGAAGGTGAGGTGAATTCATACCACCGTGAGGTGAATTCATACCACTGGTGGACTTGTTCAAGGGCAGCAGAGGCAGATGTTGATCTTTTCAGAGGACAGATGCACCCTGTTTTCAGCCTGGTGTTGCCTGAATGAGCATCCATACCCTGACCTTGGTTTCACTTCACTTTCAAGGGAAGGTGGACATCTGACGCTCACAGTCCCTGAATTTTATGTCATTTGGACTTTTTGCAGATACTCAGAACAGCCTTGTACACTGATGTACAAAACAAAGCTTCGCTTGCCTGCTGCATGGTTAGCATTCTCATAACCTGACAAGATAAATGTAAATGCAAATGTTAACCAAAATACAATCCCTTTACCTGGAAAGACACGGGTGTGTGTTTTTCTGTAAACACTCAAGGGCTGTCCACTTACTGACACTAGTATTTTTCTAAGTAAAGAATGCTTGTGCATGACATGGCTCAGGGTTCAGCAACAAAGTGACCTGACCTTGCTGCCTAACTATAGAGTGAAGGAAATTAATTGCTGTTTAAGATATTTGTAATTAATCCATATAGCAAGAAATGAACTAGTGTTGGGAAACTATAAATAATTAATAATTGAGAAATAAGTGCAATATGGTCATAGATTTCCCAGGAGGAGAGAGCAGATAAAGCGTTTGATGTAAATTATTTGCTCAGCTTTACCATTTTGATAAAACATTTCTTTACTAAGGGCAAAACCAAGTGAAATAGAAATGACTGCATGGTTAATGAGTCAGACATAAATGGTACAGTTCTTACTGGAATAGCTGATTAGGAAAGATACACCAAAAAATAGCAAAATATATGCACACAGCAGATAAAATGAAACCATGTGACAACGTGTACACTTGGAGAAACAGCTTTGAGCAAAATTGCTAAAGGTAAGTTAAAACCTGTACAAATGATAGATAATACAAGACCTAAGGCTAAACCAAGACAAATGTAAGAGTGCAGCCAGAAGTTTTCTGTATATGATTTGCATGTATGCACATCCCCAGAATTTTCTACAAGGCTGGTAAATTGCTTACATTTAGAAACTATTGCTACAAACTGTTTTCTGTGAAAATGTCATGAAGCCACTGGGTTCCTGTGGTAATGATAATGCAAGTAAGCAGTGGTCTGAGCGTTTATGAAAGGACCAAGTCCCTGCAAAAAGGGTAATGAATCTAAGAAAAACTTTGACCATGATCTGAGTCTGTAGTGAAACCCAAAGGTATGTGAGTTTCCCAGAATGCTAGACTTTGCTTGTTAAGAACATCAGATGAACATCCCCTAGGGAGTTGACTTCAAAGTTAAGTACTAGGGAAAAAAGAAACAAGGTACAGAGTAGAGACTCAAGGAGCAAAGGAGGAATGGTTGTCCAGGAGAGGAGGTGGAAAGAAACAGAGATAAAGACAGAGCTGCCAGCCGCATTAGAGGCAAGTTAGTAAAAGCTTCATCAATGACATCTGAATTCAGTTTCTAAGCAAATGAACAGAAACTTCAAACTATCAAAGTCCTGATTTGAAGCCAATAATGACATTTTGATATGAGAATAAATATATTTCCATGCATATATCTGCAATACAATATGAAGGTTTTTTCCCCACAATGCACCAGGCACCACGCTAGCCTGCATATTGAGTAGCAAAGTTAATCAAATATACATACAGCATGAAAATCCAGTGTTCTGAGCTGTACTTAGTCAGTCCTGTAAAGATTGAGCCTCTGACAGTATTAACTGGGCACCTAGATTTGTAATCTGCTGTTGTATTAGTCTGCATACAATGTCTTGAAAATGTAGATTGAAGTCCTGTACATATCTGTACGTATTATTCTAAATACATGGTTTCCTATCCTGTTTGTCCCACTCTGTAGAACAAGCCCTGAGCTGGGCAACCATCCAGAGTGTGTTTCCCTGCCATGAATACAAAAGGACAGTCTCTAAAAATGTGAAAGGGCTTGGGTGATGACAGTGGGATACTGGAGGAAAGCCCTTCTTTGACAGCAACTACAAAAGCCAATTTTCTCCACAAACTAGTGACTCCAGAAGAAGAGTTGCCCTGTGGGCATAGTTATTCACCAAAGCACCCTGCAGACTGGCTGTTCCCCATGATACTTCCAGGCATGACTGCTCATGGATGCTGGGTCGTGTCTTGAACTCAGGCTGTGGACCATGTCAGGGCTGTGATACACCATGCCTTGGCTAAGGTCCCTGGCACTGCACTCCATCCAGTGTGCAGGTGGAGAGAACATCAACTTTAACATCTGATGTAGGGTCCTGTGAATTGAACACTGGCTTTTTTGACCTGGTTTGATTAACTAGGAGATGACAAATTTCCAGTGAAGTACTATGTTCATGCTTGTTGCTCTGACTTATCAAGGCTCAAATTTCCTGATTTCAAATGAAAAACCTCCAAACAAACAAAAAAAGCCCTTTTGTTCTTAATTTAGATTTAGCTTAATCTCCCAGCAGTCTGTCTCCTCAAATAACTGAATGAACTATGTCTAATACATGCCTCCAAATATTTTCATGAAGATAAAGAAAATGAGTGATCTTCTTTTCCCATAATTTCTCTACACTGTGCTTTTAGGTAAATGCTAATATACACCTTGTGTCAGGTATAACTAAATAAACTGTATATGTATTTATGTCTGAGTTTAGTGCACCTGGTTCTCCTTTATTCTTTTTCAGTTCTGTTTTCATTGGCCTATCATTGAGCTCATTCTTACAGAAGGTTTTCAGATTGGGTATCTATTTTCTAGAATAAGTCTGACTCCCTTGCTGTTTTAAATCACAGTAAATCGCTAGGTTACCTTGGTGCTTTATTTTTAAACTTGTACTTTCTATAATTTCTCCACTGGTACCTTTGAATAGTCTTTGCTGTAAGTTTCAGGGAGTTTATTTTGTGTCAATGTTTGTGCCAAAACTTTTGGGAATTTTTAATCAGCTTCTTCAATTTACAGTAATTACTCTGTTATGACAGTACAATGTCTTCCCTAAGAGAAATAAATTGAATATTAGTGCGACGCCTAACAATAACTCCTTCTTCCTTCCCTGTAACCCTGGAGTAGTTTTATCCAGGCAAAGCAAGTCTACTGCTGAGTCTTAACAAGTCCACACATACTTTTCCAGAGTTGCATATCCTTTAGGTGCAACACAGGTCACTGAAATTCTCCATTGTCACAGTATAGAACCAGAGATAGATAGGAGCAAATTTGGAAGGCAGAAAGCTCGTTGGTTCAAAGGGATTAATTTAATTTCAACTCTGCTAATTTCAGGTCTTCTCAGAATATCTCATTTTTACTTTTCCTTGATTTGCATGCTTTCTTTTTGCAACATAACGTTGATAATACATCTTTGCTTCTTCCTATCTGCAAAGAAATAGAGAACTGAATGTTATTTTTTACAAATAGCATGCTCCTCGGGTGACCTGCTTGGTATTTTCTTGCGTTAATTTGCAGAGTTAAATACAAGGAATTTATAAGGGGAAAAAGAAAAGACACAGCTGTAAATGAAACAAGGGTCTTCTCTAGCTATAAGAACCAGGTGAGATTTTTAGAGTTGTCTTAACCTAATTCCAAACTATTTTGTTCTGAATAAGAGCCTTCCCACATTTCTCTGATCCTCACTGTGTGTTCCTGCCCTTTTCTTTGGGTTAGCCCAGCTGATCATGGGGGTGAACAGTGAGTTAGATTAGCCTTTCACTAAAAGGAGCTGGTGCAGCTAGCCTAGACTACACTACTTTTGGCTGACGAGGTAAGGTTAAATGGATTTCTGCCCCAATTAATTGTTTTGTGCTTTTCTGAACTCTTAAATAACAGCCATGTATAAAATGTGTTGGCGTTTCCAAGATGGGTGAAGGGATTAAAATTTGTAAAGTCATTAGATTTCAGATTTGTTTGGAATTAAATGTACTATAACAATAAAGTTGTTAGTCTTCCACTGAGTACTCCCATTTCGCTTCATAGACACCAGTAAAAACATTTGAAAACTTACTGTATTATTATTTATGATATGTACAAAGCAAATAGTGAAGAAAAGCCACAATAATAATTTAAATACACTCAGTTTTAGCACAGAAAGCAAGATCAAACTAATTAAATCCGTATTATCACTTTCTGTACAAATCCCACACTGTTCTTGTGTGCTATAAATTCAAGTCCCATTAAATAAAGACCTGACTCTTCATATGTATGTATGCATGCATGAGAGTGGGGGCTGGAGAGAGAGGAGATGAAAAGAGTCCTTCCATCTCATGGGGCTTGTTGCAAACCCCCTGTTAGCTCTAAGAAGTATTGGGGCAGGGACTTCTGTGCCTTTGTGCAGTGTCCCAAGTGTAAAAACACAAGGGTAGTAGCAGTGCTGCTTCTGTTGTTTCCTAAAAGAGGTCTGGTAAGATTGGGTAGGTGTGAGGTAATGAGTGATTTGGCACAGAGCATTCTTCTATGTTCTGCTCTGAATCTCCAAGAGACATATTGGCTCAGCTGATCAGATTCCTTTAATAACACAGCTTCCAGGTCTACACGTGCTGCTGCTTCTCTGCTCTATAGCCAATGATGGTCATGGCTTGAGGCCACAGTCTAACACTGTGTCCTCATGAGGACTGGCATTTTTAATGTCAATCCAGTGTTGTTTTAAAAGAGAGACAAGGAATTAATGTTTTTCGGGGGGGGGGGGGGGGGGGGGGGGGGCAGATTTCCTGTATACTTTTCAAACTGGTTCAGGACTTAATATTTGTTAAAAGTTGTCAGTAAGGTTGTGACAACACTGCAACATCTCAGATGCAGCAGCCATGGAGCTAGTTGACAGAAATGTGCTGAAAAATGCCAGCTTGCTGAACTTGAAACATTGCCTTCAAAGGACATCCACTATTATTTGCCATGGTGAAAGCCAAGTGTTAGTCTTGACCATTTCCTTGTGAGTTTGCCTACCTGTTTGGGTTACTGAATGTTGCTGTGCCCACAGGAATAGACTAGATCTGCCAGGCTGAACTTACCTGCATTCAGTTGGGTGACTGGATCGCAAATAGTACGAATAGGTGAATGGACGGATGAATTAAAATATTGTTTCAAAGTATTTGGTCAGAACAGTTATGATGGCTTATTGCTTCTGTCACAGTTATTTTCCTTGAATCTTCTTTCAAGACAGTCACTGGCAGAAGTTACTGAAATCAGTATGTTTTATACCAGGCAAAAGGTGAATTTCTAGTACAGACAGCTCTTATTCCAGGATATATTCGCATCCAGTCAGGAAATAGGAGGAACAGCGTGCAACTTATTAAACTAATAAATTGGATATCAAAGAGTTACTTGCATAACCAAAGTTATCCATCCTCATATCATGCAGCAGATTTTCTAAAATGGGTAATTTTTCAAAAAGCATCCCAAGATGTCATCACCCTAATTTGGAAACAAACTTAACACTGAAATGTATTGAATTATGTATTGGCTATAAGCAGCTTTCTCATTTATAAACATATTTCTTCTCCCCAAACTATACAATAATAGTGGCAATGCAGAAAACATTCATTTACATTAGCTATATATTTGATACATTTCTGCAGTCTAGGGTGGATGACTGTTCAAGGCTAAAAATTCAGTTTTTCATTATTAAAAAATACCAGTCTTTGCTATAGGTGTTGATGATTCAGTGAGAATTACAATTCTAATCAAAGCATAATAAGTATTTTGAGCCCCTTATAATTGCTGCCAAGAAGCTATTTATTCAGCTAAAGAATTAAATTTTTGTTTGTAAGCTCTTTCTTGTTCACAATAGAAATAAAAGTGTGTGACTTGGCTCATGAGCAGATACCATTCTGGCTGTTTTACTAAGAGTGAAAAATAAGCATTCGTACAGAAAGACTTATGATACTTAAACCAATTATTTATACATAATGTGCTTCTATAAAATCCAGTGTTTAGCTGCAATGAAGCTACTGACTGCTCTTTTCCTAAGAAAATACCCTAAGAAAACAGACATTTCACACAACTGTAATAAATTTACATCATCAGGAAAAATACTCTGACTTGATATGAAGGGTCTTTTACTTACTATCTTCTCTAAATATAAAAATATGTGAGTAAATTCACCAGGTAAAGTCTTTTAGTTTTAAGAATAGCAGGCACTTTTGTGCAGAGTCTGATAGTTGGAAAAAGGCAAAATCTTCAAAAGAACATTGCAAAGTAAGTTCTTTTCAACCCAAGTCATTCAAGACATGCTGTTTGCTCTCAGTTGGTATAATGGAAAACATAGCTTCATGAAAGGAAAAGACATCAATGAAGATAACAAGAATGTACATGATGACTACACTAAGGGCCTTGGTAAGGCAGAGGACATCTTAGTGGCTGTTTATTTTAACAATGATGTCTGCTAGTACTGTACTTTTCTAATTGGATGGGATATCCTGGTTTAACTCAGATGGCAATTCAGCCCTCAAATTCATTCTTCATATTGAGGTAAGAGGCCATGGTAGAAGGGATACCTCATATGATCAAATCTTTCTCCCATCATACAATCATAGAATAGTTAGGGTTGAAAGACCTTAAGCTCATCTAGTTCCAACCCCCCTGCCATGGGCAGGAACACCTCACAGGTGTGGAGCATTTATCACTTCATTAGGCAACAAAGAAGTTATATACAACAAAAGAATAATGCATAATAATATACAACAAATACAATTTTATATGATAAGGGAAAGGAACACAAATGCACATCATGACATAGGCCTACGTTTGGCTAGTTCTTGTATAGCTTGGCTTTATCTATGCAGTTATGCTTAACAGGGAAAACTTTTATATTAGGCATCCAAAGTTACAAAGCCTTGAACAGCTGCTAAAAGAAAACAGTAATTTGCTGAGAAGCCTATACTTGTTCTAAAACAAGGACCTTCACTTGTTATCTTCTATCATATGTGCTTTGCACAGAGGTAACATGTCAAAATATCCATGCAAAATGTTTGTGGGAATTAATGAGAATGTATGTGCACTGTATATCCAGGTAAGAACAAAATGTGAGAAAGGCTGATTTGAAGTTACTTCTTATCCCAGTAAAATGAGGGATGCTATAAGACAGCTTTTTTTTTCAAAAAAAAAAGTTTGGGTCATATCCTAAGTCAGTAAGAATTCTCCCTTTAACTTCAAGAAGCTCAAGATTGGAGCAGCCACAGTAGTCTTAATAAATGTAAATCTTATTAGAAATACCCTCTTTTATAACAAGTGCCAAGCTGTGCAAAGCTCCAGGCTACATTACCTTACAACATTGACTGAAATGGCAGAAGAGTTTACCATCCCCACTAATGAATTTTTTTAACTGCTCTTTGCGAAGAGGGTGATACCAAAACTCCAGTGAGAAACAAGTTAATCCTCAAATTGAAAATACACTAATAAGGCTTAAATCAAATTAAATACATATATATATATCTATACATATTTTTTGGTTGACACTATTACTTTCTAAACCAGTCTAGAAAATGCTAGATCTTTTTTCTCTTCTTTTTATCAGTCATTGAGGGAAAAGAGCTGCTAACACTTTTGGAGTATGTCTACTTACTCATTACAAACAAGGGCATAGACATCAGAATTTAAAACTTAAACACACCATCAAATGCGTTTATCACCCTACCAGCTAAGGATACAGTGACAAAAGAGAAGTATAAAGGGATTCTGGGTGCTAAAGACCATTCCAGTTGTCTTTCTCCAACTTCCTTTGGATTGTTACTGAGAAATGAAGCTGCCAAGAGCCATTATATGCTTCAGGCTTCCTGCTTACCTCAAGAGATGTGTATCCATAAAAGTGGATGCTAGGATCATAAGGACAATAAAGGGGTGTGAGCATAGTAAACTGTGGGAGCTATGAGCTGGAGACTACAGGCTCAATTGGTCTTAGACCATCCTTCTGAGATGCTGTGGGGTCAAAATGATCACCAGTATAGATGGCTTTCCAGACTGATGGAGCCGGAGCCCAAGCCCAAGCCCAAGCCAGCCCTTCCCTGCTGGGAAGGTCATTGTGTGAAAACTTTTACTGGCAGAAAAATCAGTGAGAACTGAGCCAGAGGAACATGGCATTCTACCAGTCTTCCTACAGTCATGTCCTGGGGAATTCAAGTATGCCCAGTTCTCTTACAAAGAATGGGTGGCCAACTGGGAGACAGATTTTTGCTGGGGAGATGTATATAATAAAGAGGGGGTTTACAGTAAATGTGAAAGGTAATATGAAGCTTTCATTTTTGACAAAAAAACAAATGAATCAATGCGGGTTAATCATGAGTCAGCTTAATTTCCCCCCACCCCCAAATGTGAAATTAATTCATATTGGAATTTTTAAAATTTTAATGTAATTTATTTTCTTATCGGAATTTTTAATTTTTTAATTT